ATTGTAACAATGAAATGAAAAATGAAATAAGCAATTAATGTAGAGTTTCAATCATATTAATAAGTGTGTTTACACATTGTTTGTCTAGAAACTCAAGGAAGTAACTTTTTCTCTTATTAAAACATAGGTAATCAGAGATTACAGAGCTCACCTCAACGAATGTTGCCTTTAAGTAAGGCAAAGTCACACAATTACCCAACAAAAAGTGTACATCCAAAAATGCAACATTTATGAAATTTTGATCTGATACTTTGAAATAGACCTATATAAAAACTTCAATCTAGTTCTTCATCACAAAAATGTGATCAAATCCAGCATCTGAAGCAAGTTTAAGAGTTTCTTGGTGATAGACCTGCACCCATAACTTTTTACCTGGTCCATTATCTGGAAAATGTATGTCGAATTCAGCATCCGGAGCAAGTCCATTAGTATGCATCCTAAGATGTATCATCCATGCGAGTTTGCACAATATAGGGCTAATAGTTAATTAGAAATGAAACCTGCTTAAAAATTTAATCTCCTCATTCATCCAGAAAAAAATGTAGTTCAGATTCAGCATCCGAAGCAAGTCTGGTAGTATGCATCCTATTAAGATGTATCATCCACGCAAGTTTAGCCATTATAGGCTCATTGTAACTTGGAAATGAATCCTGCCCCATAAACTTTAACCTGTTCACTCATCCAGAAAATGTAGGTCAGATTCAGCATCCGAAGCAAGTCTGGTAGTATGCATCCTAAGATGTACCATCCATGCAAGTTTGGTCAACATAGGGCTTATAGTTACTTGGAAATGAGACCTGCACCAAAAACATTAACCTGTTCACTCAACCGGAAAATGTAGGTCAGATTCAGCATCCAAAGCAAGTCTGCTAATGTGCATCCTTAGATGTACCATCCATGCAAGTTTGGTCAACATAGGGCTTATAGTTACTTGGAAATGAGACCTGCACCAAAAACATTAACCTGTTCACTCAACCGGAAAATGTAGGTCAGATTCAGCATCCGAAGCAAGCCTGGTTATGTGCATCCTTACATGTACCATCCATGCAAGTTTGGTCAACATAGGGCTTATAGTTCCTTGGACATGAGACCTACACCAAAAACTGCACCAAAAATGTTAACCTGCTCCAAAAACATTAACCTGGTCATTCCTTTGCTGAAATTGCAGCATCTGAAACTTTGACTGGTACAGTGAAACACATTAGAAGCATCTTTCATGCATGTCTAATCAATATTGGACATAGAAGTACTTAAAAAGAAAACTGCTCCAAAAAACTTAACCTGGGACGCCGACGCCGAGGGTATTACATAAGCTCCCCCAACTTCGTCGAGGTAAGCTAAAAATTGTTTTCAAGATTTGCTTGTCATAAAGCAAGAAATTTAAACATCCAAGATAACCAATATTTTTGGGATTTGAAAAGATATTACCCCTTACTTACTGTGCCATCTCTAATAAACTGTTGAGCTTGTTTGGCAATTTTTTGACGTGAATTCTTGATTTTATTCAGGAAAAGGTTCCCTCTCTCTACCAGTATTCTCTGACAATCCTGTATGTTCTGTAATTTATAACAGGTTAAAGAAAAATATACTTGAAAACATTTGGCTGAATCCCATTCAAAGACAATATCATTTTATTATACTCAAGTAAATGAATTACAAACTTTGTTTTATCTGTTTTTACTTTTTAGAGAATTATGCATATTCGTTAAGAACATGTACCAGTTTCAATAATTTGTCCCTTAGTTAAATTGAGAATCAATATTTCTAAGATATCGCCATGAAGATTATTTTAAAAATTTCCAAATATGTTCCAATACTTTTACAACAGATAGAGTATCCAGTGTCATAATACTATGGCTTTCTTTTTTCAACCCAATAACAAAATGTGCCAAAAATTTTTATGGACTGAAACACTTAATCTGACCTCATCAAACAAAACATTTTCATAAGTCTTTTCCTCTACAAGATTTAATCTTTTAAAAATATTAATATACACTTGGTATACCTCTATTTGACACTGTAAGGTAATGATAAACTATTTCAATATTACTTACTGGGTGCTCCAGACTAGTGAGAGTGATGAATCGAAGGAAGAGCTCTCCAGCAGAGGAGATAGAAGTAGTGCTGCTGTCCGTCTTTGTCAATATCTGAATCGCCTCCTTCAATCTGTCTCTCATTTCAGCCAATGTTTCAACTTCAGATAGAGATTTTTAAATTAAATCTTTATATAGTATTCAATGTAAATTAATTCATCTATCGTGTATGATAGATGAATTAATTTACATTTATGAATATATACATTAGGTTTAATGAAAAAAATAATCATCAATGATCAATTTAAAGTTCTCTTTTGTATGACAACAATATGTATATTTAAACTTATATTAGTAAAAAAGAAATTTTAAAAATGATAAAACCATTGATTGTATTTACAGACAAATTGAGCTCTAAGATAATACTGTACACATGTATAACATTTAGTTGTGTATTCTATTTAGCAAATTTGGGGGAAGGCAGAGTCCACAAAATCAAGTACATCGATAAATATATCTAGCACATTCTTATAGAGCTAAATCAAATCTTCAAAGACTCGTCGTACAGGCCAAATGTAATACATTTACAGTATCTTCGCTGCATTAATTTAATGTCTTACTTTTGTTGTTTTCAAGGAAATGCAGTAAAGTTTTGATGGCTGCAACAGCTGCTGAGAGATCTGGGTCCTCTTTGACCAGTGTGTTGAAGTAAGACAAAATGCCTGCAAAATCAAATTTACATCTGTAATTATAAGCATTATGCTTTCAATGTCTGTTCCTTTATATGTATAGATGTTGACAGCTGAAATTGTTTGCTAGTCAGTGTAAGACAAACATGTACAGGGGTTTATCAACATTGTTTTAACTATTGCTAACAACTTTTTTTAATTATATATAGACGGACATGCCCCCATACTCCCATTGTATATATACTGTGCATATCAAGCACTTCGGTTAGTTTTTCTTCCACTTTATGAATTAAATAAATCATATGAAAAAATAGTCACTCAGAGGAAAATATCTTGATAAACCCTTCACAAACATGTATCAAGTATTTTTCTTTGTTACTAACATATACATATACCTACATAAAATTCTCTATTTCTTAAAAAGTTTAAAAAGTTTTTTTCCAAGATACGGTTAAATAATGCTGAGAGGCTGTCATGGGGCTTAGAGTTAGATTTTTGCCCACAGAGCAGAAAACTCATTATCTTGCAGTACAATCACTAGATTTAGCTACGTAGGTAGAATTACCTACGTAGCTTTATTTATCTACCTCAGGTAGCTTTATTTAGCTATTTTTAGGTAAGTTTTCAAAAGTTTTCTTTTTATTAAAAAGAGACAAAAAGTCGCAATTAAATGACTACTGATATTTATAATAGGAAGGCTTTAAAAAACAATCCAGAGCAGATAGTTTATACATTGCTGCGTTTGGACAATTTAGAGCAAAACATGTAATTCTATTGTTTGGTTATCTGACCATACGGTGAGGTGCGGTGAGGCATGACTGAGTATGATTACTTCACATTGTGCTGAATAATTACCGACCTATTATCGTGTTAACCGGAACTGGACTTCTTTGTCATTTCATTCAAGGAGTAACCGTTCTAACTGTCATACATAGCCCCAAAACTTTCAGAACTTTGATTGCAATTGCGCAGAAAAAGACTTTTTTCCAAGAGAGATTTTTTCATAAGTTGTTTTCAGATGAGTTCAAACACAGGGGCATCTTATCCACTCTGTTCTCTACTTCACATATAAAAATACACAAGGGAAGAATCGAAAGTAGCACACGATTTTTAAAAAAAGTCAAAAAACAACTTACTTGAGAAAAGTTACACAAATCCTGAAAGGAACTAGCGCAAATGATGTCCTAGTACTTATCCAGGCTAAAATATTCCAGATATATCCATCGAAAATAGCTTTTATCCAACTAAAACCCCAGCTTTCTGCACAGTGTGAAACTCTTCGCCCAAGAAAAGATAACTCACCCGGATGACAATAGGGTAGTACCCGAGGCCTTCCGAGTGCCATTGGAAGACTTCGACCCGAAGTCTTCCAATGGGACTCGGAAGGCCTCGGGTACTACCCTATTGTCATCCGGGTGAGTTATCTTTTCTTGGGCGAAGAGTTTCACACTGTGCAGAAAGCTGGGGTTTTAGTTGGATAAAAGCTATTTTCGATGGATATATCTGGAATATTTTAGCCTGGATAAGTACTAGGACATTATTTGCACTAGTTCCTTTCAGGATTTGTGTAACTTTTCTCAAGTAAGTTGTTTTTTGACTTTTTTTAAAAATCGTGTGCTACTTCCGATTCTTCCCTTGTGTATTTTTATATGTGAAGTAGAGAACAGAGTGGATAAGATGCCCCTGTGGTTCAAAGTTGAAAATGATCACTGCATCAAAATGATATTGTCTGCACACCCTGAGAAAAATGCTTTTTAATAGAAATAGATCAATTTGGTAGGTAAATAAAGCTACCTCAGGTAGGTAATTAAGCTATGTAGGTAAATCAAGCTACGTAGCTAAATCTAGTGATTGTACCAGACCTGTCTTGATAAATTAATGACATATCGACAAACCAGCAGTCAGAAAAAAGTCTTTGGAAAATTCACAATCTCATAATAAATGTATGGCACAACTTTTGTAAATATTTGTTACTTTAAATGCCAGAAAACCACACAAAATGCATTTTACCTGCATTGTCCATGTTTGCATCAGACGTGAAAATGAAAGTTGAAGAAATCATTAAGTCGTACTCGATGCTAATGTGATCGCCTAGAGATGAGGAAGTTGTCGTGCACGTACGTGTTTGTATCTTTATTTGAATAATGATCTCATCTTTATTTTTTTTTAGAACAAACCATATATATTATAAATCTTTTATTATAAAGGTTTGAAGCATTCTATGTTGTAATTTTTCCGAATGAATCATGGAACGAGTTGATATGAAATTCTCCAAAATGAAAGTTAAACATGTGTCTTAACTTTTGAGTCGCTTTAAAAATGACAGGTAGGTTTCTCCTTATTTTACATACCTGAACAACTTAACCATTCTTTAAGCATGTTCTTTTTTACCTATTATACAAAAACTTTTTTTCAGAAAATGTGAAGAGTCAGTTGATAATCATTCTTGACACAAATCCAGTATGGTGGGGTCAGAAACCATCATCTCATTCCAAGGCTCAGCAGAAGGTTTGGTTTTGTGATACTCATAGATATTGCCGTTTCTGTATTTTGAAACTCTGCCTTTTAAAAAAAATTTAGAAATACATATCAGAAAAGGTAAATATTAAAGGAATTTCTTTGCCATTTTAATTTTTTTTAATATTTCATGAAGTTAAGTATTTTATTTGTTTGATCAATTATGTGTATTTGTTTCACTATTGATAAAAAAAATCATGTATTCACTACTGTATTTTAGATGACATTGACAGAGTGTTTGAATTCTGTAATGGTGTTTGCACATTCACACATAATGATGAACCATTCCAACAAACTGGCCATACTAGCAGCCCATTCAGATCAAAGGTACAAATGCTTTCTGTTTCTGCCAACGGTAATCCTCCTGTTTAATAATTTTTTTGGAGAGCTATAGTTCTGCAGATAAGAATGTCTATTATTGGGGCTGTTTTCTTTTCAGTACGTTATACACATGTATTACATGTACATGTACATGTAATTCAGAAAGATCACATCAACCATATTGATACACTTTTATAGATATGATAAAAAGAATTTAATTTATAAGGCTGGTAAATGACATTGCAAAAGTTCCCAAAGAATTTTAGCTATATCATTAAATATCATGAATGGTTTTCTTTGTAGTGTGTTTCTGTATCCTAAAAATGAAGCATCGAATCCTGGAATGTCGGAGGAGAATGGTACAACAGAAGGGAATGATGGGAAATACGAATTGTTTACTCAGGTTGACAAACAAATAAAAGAGGGAATACAAAGTCTTATTGATAACTGTAAGTTACTTATAACCTGTGCAGGGTTGTCCATGAGAATTGAAATACTAGTAGAAGGGGAAATTTAATGTAGTCATTGGTTCCTCCCCAAATAGGGGTTGAGTGTGCAAGAATAAAACTTGACTGCTTGTAAACTTCCTTTCCCAAGTTGTTATTGCTATTATATTGATATTGTACTTTTTTGTTATATTATATACAATGAATTAAGACTATAGCGTGTTACTTTCCACACTTTGTACTTGAAGCCTACCGGGGTATACCTAATTTATGATATCTACTTGATATTACTTCTTACTTGACAGGTATGAATGGACAGCTCTACCCAGACTCTCTGATAGCTGGAGCCATGACTATGGCACTGTGTTGTATCCTTATCAAATATCAGCTGTTGAAACACATTTTCAACTTACTATCAAGCTTCAATACTTATATACTAAATAGACTAAAGAGTTATAAATTGGTTCATATATGTCTTTCATTCTTTATTGTGTTTTTCTTGACAAAGTAAGATATCAACAAAACAGAGAAAAGTCATGAGGAATCAGGAATTATTTCAAGTCGAATTCTGGTAAATCTTCCACTAGTACTATAGCACACATGCATTTGATCTGTTGATTTATGACTCTATTAGTCATATGTAAAAGTACTTCTAAACAACACCGTGATCATCAACACCAGTATCTGAATTAAATTCTTATCATTAGGTGATAAAGGGATCTGAGGACAACACAGAGCAGTATATGAATTTGATGAATGCTGTGTTTACAGCCCAGAAACAGGTATACAGTGTTTACAGCCTAGAAACAGCTAGGTTTACAGTACTGTAATATAGTATGATCACAATAGATAAATGTGTGATCATGCGATGAAAAATTTGATAAATGTACTATGTTTTACAAGTATATACCGGTACTGTAGAAACACAAATTTTCGTGGGGATGCAATTTTGTTGATTTGTTATCAAGAAAATTTTCTTGGGCATTTAATTTCCTTGTTTTGAAAGTAACCCTATACAATATAAAGTTGTATAGAATTCCATGTTGGATTTAATTTCGTTGATATTTGTTTACAGCAAAATAAATGAAATTTAACCCCTAATAAATATTTGTGCTGTTACAGTAATAAATACATGTAATATTAAAATAGATATAACTTCTTTGTTTCAGAATGTGGTAATTGATGCTTGTATTCTGGACAATGATTCCGGTCTGTTACAGCAGGTGAAAGACTTTTGTTTAAAATTTTCTTTTACAATATTGTCATTACTGTTGAATCATTTTAGTTGGGTCAGCATGTGTGGACAGGCAATTAATTAAGCAAAACTAAAACTTGTTTGTTGGAACATATTTTTGTGGGTTACTAATTTATATATTATAGTAGATTCTATGAATCAATATGTTTACAAAATAAACGTGTGGGGACCTAAACTTTCTGGTACATGCAAGGGGTTACCCACGAAAATATTGATCCCCTGCGAACAATGATTATTCCACAGTATTTAAAAGTAAAATTATTGATTATTAATTTTTTTTAAATGATAAAAATATAAGATGTATTGAAAGCAATAAAAGACAGTTCACAAGAATAGACTAGTGTGCAAATTATTTAAAAGCAAAGAAAATCTCTGTGTTTTGTTTTCATTAAATCAGCTGTTTTATTGATTGCCATATACTACAGAAGCAAGTAACAGAAGTTAGAATTAGTTGATATGTGTCGTTATTATAATACTTGTATTGTAGGCATGTGATATAACGGGAGGCATTTATTTGAAGATTCCTCAGATGAAAGGACTACTGCAGTACCTACTGGTTTGTAAAGAAAAAAAACGTTACATCAGATTACAGTAAAACTTGTTTAGAACAAACACGTGTATTGCGAATTCATGGATATAGCATAGTTATCTTGGATCCCCAGATACATGTATATAATTTAATGAATTTAGTAATAATAAATTACTGATATGGTGAAGTACATGTGTATTATCATAGGTCCCAGTGACTTCAGTATAACCAAGTTTTACTGTATTTTGCTTTTTAATCAAGCATTCATTTTTGTAAAGTCTGGAGTATTTGAATTTGATTAAAAAACAAATTTGTTTAAGCTTGTGTTTGTAATTTAAAAGACAATTAGTAAACCTTCTACAAGAATATGTATTTAATTGTTTGTGTTAATGTTAGTTGTACATTTAAGACAAGACATCTTTTTTACTTTAGTGGGTATTCCTCCCGGACCCCCTGGAAAGATCTAAACTGACCTTGCCCCCAAAAGTCCAAGTGGACTACAGAGCTGCCTGTTTCTGCCATAGAAATCTCATAGACATTGGATATGTGTGCTCCGTCTGTCTTTCTAGTGGGTTTGAATTATGTTCATATCATATCATGATTTCTTTTAATGTCTTTTCACTTTCTTATATGTAACTTCAAGTAAAAATGTGAATGATTTTAGAATTTTTTAACATACTTTTTAATTTTTTTTCCTAAGTAATTTTTTTGATGTTAATTTTTCAGTATTTTGTGCATTCAGTCCAATATGCGGAACTTGTCAGTAAGTACTCACTTCCTTCTTTTTAAATTATTTAAAAAAACTGCTGTGTAATAAAAAAAAAATATACTGAATTTGTATTTTTTAATGTATATTCAATTCAATTCACTTTATGGACAATTACTATGTCGGCATACAGTCATGAACATGAATAACATAGCATAAATTAACACAATTAATACAAGCATATACAAAGTGAAAAATATGAGGTGAACAAAATTGTGTATTTCTCAATATTGATATTCATTTTTGACTTTCTTTTCTGACGTCAAAGCACTTTTTCAAGAAACAACATATCCTTCTTGCAGTTGAAATATTTGTAGGATTGACAATTTTTCTAATGGGGTTATCACTAGTATATGAATTTACTTTAAATATATCATTATAGTTGCATCTATAATGATCATACTTTGGACAATAAAGAACAAAATGTTTTTCGTCTTCAACAAACAATTTACATGAATAACATAAACGTTTTTCTCTAGGAATAGGGGGTTTACAGTATCGACCCGTTTCAATATACAGTGAGTGGGCACTGATCCTTAATTTTGTTAATAAAGATCTACAACTTTTTTTCAGTGGTAATTTTAAATAACTTTGCAGTTTGTATTCATCTTGATTCACAATTTTGCTATAAAATGCTAACTTTCCAGAGTCTGATTTGCTAACATTTTTTAGTTGTTCATATATATCTTGTTTTGGTAATGCTCTTGTAATTTGTTTTTCAAAGTTATGTGAGATATTTCTAAAGAACTAATATTTAATTTTTGTAATAATAATGAAGACAGTTTCTTTTGCCAAGATATTTTAGATACAAGATTTTTGTCTTTTTTAAATGCAGAAACCACTAAATAATTGTTATAATCATGACTCATGTTTGCATTCCATTTCCTTCAGTCTCATATAATATTTTAACATATATTCATAACATAAATAATACAAAGGACTCACATAAAACAGCAAGATTTGAATGCAGATGCCTTTCTATGTACCCCTAGTATGTCTTTAAATATCAAGTGCTGTGTTTTTTTCAAAAGGAAACTGGTCTGAAGACATTAAATCACATTTAAAGTCAGTTATCCATATTTCAGATCCATATGTTATAATTGGTATTATCATTGACTGATATAATTTCAAAATAATTTCAGCAGAAAAATTAACATTTGCAGGAAAGTTTGATTTAATAGCATAATATGCTTTTCTAGCACGTTCTGATAGCTGTTCAGCAGCAAATTTCATTTTCCCATCAGATCTAAATACAACACTCAAATATATATATTCATTTGTTATGTTAATCATTTTGTGATTATAATAAAATCTAAATGATGCTTCATCGACAGATATA